TTTCTTAAAATGATTCAGGAGTAGAATATCCAGTGGAACTATCCCCAATGGTTCCAATGAAGATAAGGCGGAGTAAATCATCTAAATAAACTTATTTCTGTAAAGTTACCTGAGTGGAGGGCCAGTTCAGACCTCACAAGGTGCTTCGTCTTTTTAGTTGTTTCAAATCTGATCATCTTCTTTATTAAAGCTAAACTTTGTTATCCCACTGTCAAACATGTATTYATATATATATCCATGTATTTTAAACTGCAGGCCTCAAACAGTCAAAAATACAAACAAGGACTGATTGAGAAGTGATCTTAGTTTACGCTCTTGCTCAATGAGGGGTGAAGTTCTAACTTTTGGCACGGAGCCGTAGCCACCGGGCAGGGCTCGCTCTGCAGCGGATAAGACTCAGCTCGGGCTCCGATGGAAATGAGCCGCTCTCCGAGAGGATTGTGTTACTCGTACAAAAGCAAACTGTTGTGCCGCTGCCCGCCGCTCACCCTCTCTCAGAAGAGCCACACAGAAAAAAGGGCTTTCTCCATTTTGGAGCTCAATAAATAACCAAAGCTCTTAATTGCTGTCACTTAGCTGCAGCGCCCACGCTGTTGGAGGAGCAGACAGAAATTAGCTCTGCGGTTTGGGTTTCATCGAATTATCGTGAGTTATGATGTGGTTGAGCTAAGGCGGGACTTTATTTTGTCGGCACATGAAGGTGTCTGAGGCTGTGGAGCGGGGGAAGAAAAAAAAAAGCAGTGTGTGGTAACTGTTCACCAGCAAAGAGACCATGTAACACARTGACACACATCTTTAAATTCCTCATTTGTAATTTTCCAGATTTAGTTTTCGAAAAAATGTTTGGACTGGCAAAGGTATGCTCCGTATCATTTGACAGCTTGGGGTAATTACCACAGATCCTTTATTATAAGTCTATTTCGAAGTAACTGAACCCCTCGTTGAATTTGGACAGTGTTTGCTTATAATTACACAGGGCTGAGAGAGGTGGGAGGTGCATGCACTCTGGCAAATTTCATGGATTAAATTGAACAAAACCTTTCGGTGGTGGGGGCGGGGGTAGCCGACAATTTCTTAAACAATGATGGAATCTGTTTATAGTTTACTTTGGTGAGGGGCAGCAGTGAACGGGAAGGAGGAAAAAATCCCCAGAGTGGATGAGAGGATTTACAATTTACTTGCTTGTAATGAGAGTATGATGTGAGTGGACTGTGGCCATGAMCCTGCAGCGCTATCATTATCTAAAAAATAACATTATTACAGATCAGATCTACGGTTGAGCATTGTTAGGATCATGAGGTTTACCACGGCCTATCAAACTGTGTAATGTTGGTTTACAAACTATTCACTTCCTGTAAATTCTTCCTCTCCTGTCATTCCTTGATTGCAGCAGCATTATTTCGCTACCGGTTTAAGAGAACTGTAGGAAACTGTGCAACCTGTTTATTGATACAATAATTTGAAGGCATGTCTTCAAAACTCTTACAAAGTAAGTCAGCAATGTCTTTCAATCTGTTTTTTACTCTGTCTTGTACCGAAATGGACAGGAATAGGATGGACAAACTGATACGGAGGTCAAGCTCTGTGCTGGGATGTCCTCTGGAGCCTGTGGTAGTGGTGGGTGAGAGGAGGATGTTGGCAAAGCTGACAGCCATCATGGACAACCCCCACCACCCTCTGCATGAAACTGTGGKGGGGCTGATTAGCTCCTTCAGTCAGAGACTTAAACATCCTCGCTGCAGGACAGAGCCCTTCTGTAGRTCATTCATTCCAACTGCAGTTAGACTGTATAACAAACACATCATGATGTTATCAGTCACTTGGACAATTCACCTACACTGGCATCAGTAATATGCACCTGCATATATATTCATTTATGCACTGTATTAGGTATATTGTTATATATCACGAGTATAGTGTTTTTTGGTTTTTCTTTTACTTATTTTTCTTTATTCCATCTCACCCAGTCCTGTTTTGAGCTGCTGTGATGTGCAAATTCCCCCACTGTGGGATCAATAAAGTTTTATTTTATCTTATCTTATCTTATCTTATCTTACTCGCGTAACCTCATTTAGAGGCTGAAGAGGATAGGGACACAACCCAAATAAAAGTAAGCATAAAACATAAAAAGATGACTGGATGTTGTTAAGGTTAGTAGTGGTGTCGCAATACTAGTTTTTTCTCAAACCAAGTACGAGTACTGAGCACTTCAGTTTAATGTTTGTTATAATTATTTCTATCCATAATGTATTTTCTTTGTCTCTCTGCTAAAGGAAAATGCACCTGGACCAGTCCTTCTGTGTTTCTCTGCACCTTTCCTGTCAGCCCAAACCCAGCCGGTCGAGGCAGATGGCCGCCTGTCCTGAGCCTGGTTCTGGTTCTGCTGAGGTTTCTTCCTTTTAAAAGGGAGTTTTTCCCTCTCCACCGTCACCAATGTGCTGCTCAAGCAGGGAGACTGTGATGAAGTGATTCAACACAATTTGTTGGCTTCTTTAGATTGATTTTTGTGTACGGTGGCCTGAGATGACATATGTTGTGACTTGGCGCTGTACAAATTAACTGAATTGAATTGAGTACTTGCTGATACTGATAAAGTACTTACTGAGTTAGAAACTGTAAGAAAATTCTGTGTTCGTTAACTGGAATCGTGACAAAACCACATGAATGTTGAATAGATTAAAATGTGAAGAGAATGACCATACAACCACTCCAATACTGGATCTGAGCGATGCTTTATTGCTCAYGGCTGAACCAAGCAAAGCAGCGCTGTTGGAAACCGGAAGTCCCGGTCTATAAATACATGGTTCTTCAGTGCCTGGTACGCCCACTACAGGCCTACGGCTGAATCGCAGACGCCCTGAACAGCAATGCTTTCCTAATGTTTTTATTAATGGTTTTATTATGTGTTGTCAAGGTGTTTTGGGGCATGTAACTAAACTATTTTAATCAAGACATAACAATAGTCAAACAACAGATAATAAGAATTAATACTTAAAAAAGGAAAACTATGAATATGTGTGGTGCTTTTAAAATCAGTTTCTAAATGACTAAATAAATTTCTTCAAACTTGAAACACACAACTTTAARAACACAGCTCGCCTTCCTTATAGGCCTACAGCTCCTCTGTCTCACATCAAATACACAACGTACTGTTACAAAATTTTAAAATAAATTAATGTCTGTTTTTATCTAGAAGTTAGAAGCCACAGTCAGGAGACAGATACTGTCTGTTTCTCTCTGGCTCCAGATCAGAGATGGTTTTTTAAAGCTCCCATAAATCCAGATGCAGATACTCTCCATCCTTTGCCTTCATATGTCTGCTTTTCCACAGCTTGTGACTCGCTGTTTAGGCTTCATGTCATGACTCATTTATCCAACTTTTCCCAACTCCAACTCAGTCATTCCCACATCAGGTGGAGGGAGAGTTGTGTCTCCCTCTAACACAGACACGTTTTTATAGGAGCATAAACCGAGGTGTCGTTTTTCATTTAGTGGCATTAATTTAGTCTCTCAAGCGCCAACTGGGAATGAACAGCAAAGAACAAAACTGTGTGGAAAGATGCTGAACATTTCAGGCATCAGAAACACGAGAAGAGATTTTAAAATAACAAAAAAAAGGATAAATCTCTACAAGCTGGCTGCTGCCCACAGCAGAGGATAGGGGTTAACAATACACAACGTCCCGTCRTGATGAATGTGTGTTTGCATTCCTGGCCGACAGGAGAATGAGCCCAAAGCCACAGAAGGTGTTAAAGTCACCTTAGGAATACTGCTCCTTAGTGACTGAAGGGGGGGAAGAGGGAAAATCCAAAGATTTTCAAACTGCTGCTTTCTTGATAAACCTTCTCGTCACTGAGGCAATCAGAGTTTATGCAAAACGGAAAAAATGTGAAAAAGACACCGAGGACAGATCACTTTCATCAGAGCTGGATTAGTCTCGAGTACAGCCGAATAAAACGACTGTGTCATCTAAACTAACATCACATTCTTCACCGTGTTTTATGGATGTTTTACTGTTCAGACACGACGCCTGTCACTGACTGATGCCTCAGTTTATTTATTTACTTTCTGCTGAGTGATAAAAGAAAACCGAGGCTCAAACTGTCGGCAGGCAGCTAATATTTCCTCAGACTGCCTTCAGAGGCGACTGCTGCAAAACCCTGTGTGTGTGTCGCGTGTGTGTGTGTGTGTGTGTCCGTGCAGAGCTGCATCTCTCTGCTTGTTTGCACAGGGATTTGCCTCCTGCTATCTTTCCCTGCAGCTACACAGAAAGGTGAGAAAACATTCTCTCTCTCTCTCTCTCTCTCTCTCTCTCTCTCTCTCTCTCTCTCTCTCTCTGTCTCTCTCTCTCTCTCTCTCTCTCTCCCTCACTCATTCACTCTCTCTCTTTGACCCCTCATTAGGCACGGTGAGGGTCCGATGGCAGGCGATTCATTCAGCGGGTGAGTTGTGAGCACACCTGCGTCGGGGTGTGTYCCGCCCTCCATCCTTCCTCCTCCCATCTTTCATTCCCTCACCGCTCCACCGTTTCTCACCTTTTTCTCTCCTGCTTTGTTTCCGTCTCCTCTCTCTGTCCCCCAGTCCATCCAGCACGCCCCCCCCCCGCCCCCAACCCTGACTCCCATTCGTCTTTAGGCCGCACAGGGGATCACTTCGCACCTCGGCTCTGTTTGTTTTGCTTCCCCTGTCATCTCCTCACCTCGCCTCCAACTAAACTAAATAACTCACCGTCGATGAGGGAACGCCAAGCCCCTCGACCCCACCCATATCACCCCCTGCCCCCCCTCACCACAACCTGCAAACCCCCCCAACTCATCTGTGTTGACAGAAGAAGACTGACTCAGGAATGAAAATACAACCATCAAAACAAAACAAAAAAAATCCTCACTCAACCTCAAAATTTGGAAATGCATTTCAACTACACCGATTTAAAAAAATATATTTTTTAGTGTTTTGACATTTTTTAAGTAAGCCGAAAAGGACAGAAGCGAGTGGCGTACCTTTGCAGGCCTTCCTGTGGGAGATGGGTTTGGACAGGTCTCGGTAGAAGCCCTCCTTGCAGTAATGGCAGTGCCGACCGGCCGTGTTGTGCCGACAGTTGAGGCAGACTCCCCCACTCTTCCTCCCCGACAGTTTGTACAGCTCCATGTTGAAACGGCACCGCCGGGCATGGAGGTTGCAGTTGCAGGCTGTGGAGACAACACGGAGGAGTTAGAACTGAGCCTGTCATATCAAACATACTCAAAGCTTTAATTTTAGGACCATGTTGTAGCACCGACACACTGCTGGTTCTAACGCAGCGAACCTTTCCTTTCACTCGTGCGCTCCTTCAGTCACTAATCACCCCTGACACTGTCCTCTGCACAGCTTCTGTCCTGTGCCATAACCCGGAAGCATGGAGAGGTGATGATCATCACCAGTTCTGCAGAAACTGAAATGAACATGGCAGGACTAGAGGAGAGGACGAGTCCTSCCACTGCTCTGCAGAGACACAGCAATCATTGCAGGAGAGTCTCATGCTGCAAAAACTGACCAAAGTCTTGCAATCTCAAATTGAGTTAGTTACATTTAYTTSAGTAACTTTTTTGGGGGGAAAATGTACTTTTATGAGTGTTTTTACTACACTGAACTTTTTACTTTTACTTGAGTAATTTTATTATGAAGTATTGCTACYCTTACTTGGGTAAATTTCTGGAAACTCTACCCACTGTGAGTAAATTCACTGAATAAAGAACAAGTTTGTTTTCACCAAAATATCACTAGAAACACACACACCTGCAATTTTTGTTAGTTTCATAAATTTTATATTGAACAAAACTGATTTGGAAAAAAATGTTTCCTTTGCCTGAATTTATTATTTTGGAATTATGTTATTTATATTTATTATTTTCATTTTGATCTTTAATATACCAATACTTGCACATAGTTTATATTTTGGTCCATCTGATGATGTAATTTTAACATTTGAAATGATTGATGTCTTGATTAGGCACTCAGTATTTGAGTAGCCTTTTTACCAAATACTTTTTTAAACTTTTTTGTATGGCTACTTTTACTTTTACTTGAGTAAAAATATGTTGAAGTAGTACTACTCTTACTTGAGTACAAGTTTTGGGTACTTTACCCACCTCAACTCATATCCAGCCCAAGAAGTACTTTGATCTTGTTACTAATAGCAGTTACTAAGAGCAGAATATGTTAGATTAATAATCTTGTTAGACTGGAAATTGTTTTCCTTATTTCAAGAAGTCTTACTAAGTGCAATTGTCTTACAGCTTTGACAGATTATTTCACTTCATTTAAGAAGATTCCAACTACAAGTATAATCTAGTATTTTTAAACTTGTTTTAATGCTAATTTTTGCAGTGTAGCTCTAAATTAAGGTTACCTCTGATGTAAGTCAGGAGACCATCCTGGTTCACCCCTCCTGAGACAGAACCCTGCTAAAGTCTTTCAAGAAGACAATACCTGTCCGTACCAGCAGGTCCAGCCAGGTCCAATGAGCTTTTCCTAAATGAACATGTGTGGGATCAGATTTCAGAGCCAGTTCTGACCCCTGCGGGCCGACATACATCAGCTGCACAACAAACATATATCCAGGTGCTTAACTGTATTTTGTTAATGATTATATATGACGACACCAAACTAAATATAATATTTACAACTTGTAGATACTTTAGAAGTTTAATAACAAGCCAGTCTACTCTGTTTTATTCAGTTATTTCCTGCTCAATAACTTAGTGGATTTGAGTTATTGTGATATTGTTGTTTTCATATAAGCAGCAGACTAGATTCAAGTGAAAATGAGTTGAAATTTTAGTGATAATAAGTTCAAAGTTTTATCCTCATCCCAACTCTTTCATTATCTGTTCTTTCTATTGAGGTCCTCCCCTGCTCTCCAGAGAGTATACTGTACCAAACAGACAGTGCAGTCCTGGTATTACCATTCCTCCGTTCCCTACAGATCCCTGTGAGCGTGAGCGAGACCCATCTCCRCCGCTTGTTTACTGGTGAGAAAAAGTTGCCAGAGCTGAGTTTAATTAGTGGGCTGATGTTTATTCATGACTTTTTGGCAGCGGAACGAGGCAGACGTGCCCAACTTCATTAGGGCACAGCCGTCCGGGACGCAGGTCCTCCTCCACCAGCACCACAGACAGATTCYTGCATTATTAACTGCAGCACTTCTGATACGTTTTGCTGCTCCAGTGTGCGTGTGTATGTGTAAAATTTTATCTGGGTCTAACTTGTGTCCTCTGTTGGCTCATCCATTAATGTTTTCAACATCACATCTTTACTCTGTCATTATAATGGAGGAAGGCTGAAGGTTTAACTCCCTCAGCATTCTTCTGACGCCTCACTGCTGTGTGTGTGTGTGTGAGTGTTTACTGTATGTACAGTTATTGAATATGCGTATCTGTTTAGAACCCTTGAGTCTTCCTCTTTACACTCCAAGGACCTAATTACAATATCTGAACCRTACAGACAGTAAACACACAACAGCTCTGGCTCTTGTCAGCAGTGACTCTCTTACTCTCCATCTTCTTTTTCTGATAGTAGGAGTTTAATTAGTGATGTTCTCTGCTTTTTGTCCATCTCTGCCTCAGACTGTTCATAAGCTTTAAAACGTCAGTTCAAGTCTTTTGAAGTAAAGTTCTTTGGTTTGTTTATTGACAGTAAATATCTTACCTGTTGTAGATAGCTCAGTGAAACAGAATTTAGTTCTGACGGGATTCAGAAACTAACTGCTAGCCCAAAGATTAGGACCAAAGATTATTTTTTTTCCATTTTAAAACATCTCCAGCCTTAAAAAAACAAAGACTATTTCCTAACCCTAAACCCACCATCAGTTATTTAATAGACAGTTATCTGAACAGAGACATTATGTTGTTAAGTGCATAAGCATAAGAAACACATATTACAATGCATTTTAATAATTATAAAAAATTAAATATATAAAAATATAATTAAAAGCAACCATTTTGATTAAAGACAAGAGTTCTAAGTTGAACAAAATAAAATGTGCAGAAAAGTCAATGTCCCTGTATGAGGACACAAGGTCTCAGGAGGTTGATTTTAACCAACTCACCAACGCAACTTGCAAAAACAAACTAATTTAAAACCTTGTTGATGGAGTAGTCTTCAGTCCAAACTAAAGCTTAATTTGCCTTTTTTTGGATGAGTTAAAAGCTCTTACAAGTCTTTATTAAATAAACAGTGCATGTTACAATTTTTGAGTTGGGTTTGGTTCTTAAATTGTTTTCTTTTATTTAGTTTCATATAAATTTAGAATATTTAGCTTGTAACTTTGCAATGCTGTGCTGACCAGAGTAGGTCTTCAAAAAAGGAGACGGGGCTCCTAAGGGACTTCTTGGTTAAACAAAGGTTAAATAGATCAAATGTTACAACAGTTTTTAATTATCACTAAATGACAAAGGRTTCTCAGTGAGCATTGCTTTGTCTCATGGTCTTGCTTCATAACTACAGTAACTACATTTCAGGCACAAATAAAATTTTTAAACTTTTGTCTTAAGCTGAATGATGATTGACATTGTTCGGCTTCATGGCTCCAATAGAAACCCCCTGAAGTCAACCGACAGCCACAACCTGATCCTGTGTGTCTACTTACAACCTCAGAGAGTCTGAGGTCTAAAAGTGCATCAAACATCCTGTTACTTAGAGCTATTTTGTGACCAAACTGCCTTTTATTTCCACAGCAGAAATTCTATGCGATCACTTTGGGTTAAATTATTCCCTGTTAAACAGCCCCGGAGTGATTGGTCTCTTTGTGCTGAGAACCTCACGCTGACTGTCAGTCCAGCMTGGGAACGCCATCGGGCAGCTCTGTCTTTGCACAGATTCCTGCTCCAGGGCACAGTTGGTCCGGGCTAACTTTAATCATGCCTGCGGGTAACAGGGATCACAGGATCAGTGCTAAGCCTCCGACCTGCAGACAAGTCTCTGTTACACTACAAAGGACGTTTCACACCATCTGTAAATGCAGCTCCAGAAAGAATAATACAGCTGGGCTGGAGGGCATGTTGGTTATAGTGGAGACACCATAGGAACCCACTGAGAAGGTGTGAGACTCAAGTCCACATTGTGTTTCAGTTTATTGTGTCTCATAATGGGGAGGAGTGAGAACCACTTTAGTTAAACTTTCTGGCACCGGGTGTCATTTAAGCTTCTTCAAAACAATGTTGGTCCAATGTCCCGCAGTTGAAAAGGGGAAAAAAATAGAATAAATCCTTGTTTGAAGTACATTTCTTTCACATATCAAAACTTCCTCATCTACAGAACCACAAACACAACATCTGAAAACTTTTTACCCCTTGGCTGCAGAATTTAACATGAGACCTGGTTTGTTTATCAAGTCTTGCTGTTTCCTGTACATCACTGAGGCCTTTTCGATGTCTGAGTGGGTTGTGAAAAACTGGGTAATTAGTTTCTCTGAGTGTTTCCCAGCGTCCATCAGCTGACCTCAGGCTCAGAGCAGAGTGAGGCAGCCGGCCGTGGGCTAATTAAAGGGAAAATTAAAGCCGCAGCACTGCAAGTTGGGCTTAAKCTCATCGTACTTATGATAAGCCTGGTAGTTAAGTGATGTTGGCCGGAGCTTGAAACTGTTGTAAAGAGACACTCCTGCTAATGATCTGTGCTACTTTTAGTCCAAATCTACAGGCTGGAGTGGCTGTAGCTGCTGGATAATACACACAACACCTGTGTTCTTGGCCTGAAGATGCCAACCTAACCACATCATCTCCACAAAGCAGAGATGAGACCCTGACTGAAGCTTGGGATCAGGTTTATGACTTTAACACCACAAACAGGATGGAAGACAAGAAAAAACCTTGGTTCAGTTCAACCAAGAACAGTTTGACTTCATGCAGAATATGGGCATAGCTCTTGCTTTGGTTATACAGATCACATAGTTCCCTAAAGTGACCATATATTGCCTCAGGACAATCAAACCTTCAAAGGACATGTAGACTGGAACATCAAACCTTCAAGACTCCCAACGCAACTTTGCAAGGGTGAAAATCTGGTCCAATGTTCCACAAGATGGACAAAAATCACATTGCTTCTCCAAAACCTGAGGTTTGACAATGTTAATAATAATGTTGTGGCTAAAGATGTGTTTTGACAACAAACTTTTCAGTAGTTTCATCTGTAACAAAATATAAAATAAAGTGTAAATCATTGGTTTTCAAACGGTTTAGCTTCTGGCCCAGAAAACAACAGTAGCAGAAACTTGTAACCCCATACATTACTGGTTTCAGACTTTGCTAATAACTCTGTTAAACATGGACATAATCACATTATAAACAAACCTAATACCTAAAAAACAACTTTTACTCATTTACAATTGGTAATATTTTGCAATATTTACGTTAAACATTTTCCATTGGCAATTTATTTGCATTTTAATTGATGTCTGGTAATCTACTGGGGACCCTCACTTGATGTTTCAAGACCCACAGAGGGTTCCTGACCCCAACTTTTTGGAACCCCTACTTTAGTAAAGTGTAACTTATTTTAGACTCTGGGCTGTCATTCGACTTGATGTCTCCTTAGAAAATTCCAATCAGGATACAAAATAAAAAATACCACAAAATGCTGAAATAATTACACTTTTGCTGACTGTAAACACACAGCAGCAGAAGAATGAAAAACACTTTATATAAAACAAAGGCAGGAAAATACTGGAAAAAWTTACTAAAGTCTGGAAAGTACAGACTTGAGAAATAATATTTCTGAAGCCAAATATATTTCTTGTTTTTATAGAGAAGGTTGAGAAAAAAAACAGATTAATGACAGCAAACTCTGGCAGAACCTTGTGTTGGAATTTCACTCTAAATATTATCAAGAAAAAAAAGCTTCTGGCATCTCTGACAGCCACTGTTTTCCCCAAAACACCAGAAAGAATTTTATTTTTTTTCAGTCTCTGTGTAATTGCTGAGCCAAAAACAATGGCATGACATACCAAAAATATTTATGATCCTTCAGTGACCAAAACCTAATTGAGCTCATATTTACTGGTCAATAAATCTACATCATCACTGCAATTAATGTAATTGTCTCATGTTTCCAGCTTGTGCATCAGCACCTCTTTAACAAATATAATATTTTTAATTTAGTGTTGGTTGATTTAAACAGTGACATAATACAGACAGGAAACACAGAATGGGAGTATGTGAAGAATGGAGATGACAGATGTACTGATTAGTGTTTAATGTTTTGTCAGTTTAATTATTGTTTTAGATAAAGAAGCTTATTAACACAACATGTTCAATAGGAATTGAAGAGGGATCCAAATGAATAAGCACCGAAGATCTGTTATAGCTTTACATTTTACAGTTTACTTAAAGTGTCTGTGACATGCCTATCCATCAAATACAAAAAGTCAAAGAAAACACATTTTATATAAGAAACCTTGCATAAAACGTGATTTTACCCATTTTGTCACATAAATGACATATTTTCTTTTGAACTTGGCTTAGCTAAAGTGCAACAGGAAGTGACATCAAAGGGGAACTCCTTAAGAAAGAGAACTCTGTGGTCTTTGTTTATTGAAACAATATTATTTGAACTCTGACACTTCTTCATCTCTCTGATAGCGACTCAAAATAATCTAAAGAAATATCAGATTCTTCTCTACAGTCTGTACCATTAGCTTTTTTTTATCAATGCTTTGTTCCATGCAGGCATTCCCCTTTGACATCACTTCCTGTTACTGCACATGTAAATAACTTAACAACTGTTCATCTCAGCAGYGGGAAATTATTTTTGCAATATGCTAATAATGTTATCTTTCCAATAAAGCCTTTTTATTTATGTAAAAAAAAATCATGTCACGGGCACTTTAAAAGGGATGGAAATTTACTTTCAACTCTGTGTTTCTCTTATTAAAAGGTCTGTCAGTGAGTGAGAGACAGAGGTGTGTGATTACCATGGTGATCTTAATGAGGCCCTGGCAGCAGCTTTAACATTTCTTTAGTTCTTGGTTTTTTTTTACACTTCTTATTCAGTTTATGCAGAAAAGCTTCATCATTTTGTAATCCTAGAATGGGCAACTGGCGGCCTGCGGGCCACAAATCCAGCCTGAGAATGACTTCCATCTGCCTGCCAAAAAATACATCATTTTTTTAAGTTACCACTATAACATGTTGCACAAAGCTAAATATGAGATGCTGCAGTGGCAAGTACAAAAAACAACAGCAACCTTTTAGTAGAACCACGCAAGAGTCTGCACTCAACACGTCTGTCGTTGCACTTCAGCTCACTATAAAGTGTTTATTTTTTGTTTGCTTCTTGTATTTATATTTATTAAACAAGGCAACTGTTACACATGCATTTGAGCATGAAATATGTTAACTACCTGTATGTTGGTTTAATAAACAGACATTTTTAAAAAGGCAGTTTTATTACATTTTTGTAAGTGCACAGCGCTACGTGACCCTCCAGTTAGTGTCAACAAGAAAATTGTAGTCCCTTCCATCATTTAGGCTGCCCATAATGCTTTTAATTAAAAAAAAGGTAAATCACAAATTTTTTTTAAAGTTTTATAGAATTTCAAGGAATTTTAGACAGTATAGCTGCACGGACACCTTTCAAATTTTCTTCTAAAGAGTTTTAGTTTTACAACGAACGTTCCAGTATTGTTTCAGGCTAAATGTTAAATTATAAAAATATCTCAGGAGTTTTTTTTTTTTTTGAAACCCAACAAGATTTTATGTGTCTGAGGTTTGAAAGAATATACATCACATAAAACWCTCCAAAGTATCCTGAAAACAAAGTTTGATTTTTGGTCTCCATAAAATATTCTTTGATTCTGTAAAACTTTGCTGCAGCCCAGAGCAAATATCTTAAAGTTTCAGAAAGCTGGTGCTGGCAGTGGGAGGCTTTAGTGAAGTGTGTGGGTTAGCTGGGGTCTCTGGATGTCTGTATAGTGAGAAGAATCCTGGGAAAGCCATGAATCTGTGGGGCGGTGGAGGGGGATGGAGCAGGCGAGTGGGAAGAGTGAAGCTGCAGAGATTATATCTGGCTCATGTAACATATTTATTGCAGCCAATTAGCTGCAGCGCCTCAGCCCCCTGTGATCCCCACTGGCCTTCGTTCTTGTCTCCACTGACCCCCAACGTAAAGCAGAATCTTACATTTTTACAAAGAGGAAAGGATGCCTAAGGGGGAAAAAAAGAGAGGAAGTGTGAGCAACGAGGGGGACAGAGATCAGTCTGCTGCGCCTCAGAGGCCTGACTTGATGAAACTGAGCTGAAGTCACACAGAATATTCTTCGGGATTATCAAAAGGTAAATTAAATATATGCTGATTTCCAGTGGACACGTTCCATTCGCTGTTGAGCAAACCTGCTCATTAAATTTAGATTTAAAAAGAAAATCCGTCAAGCTGCTCATTAATTTGTCCTGTCTTTATTTCATAATTCAGCACTCAGATGTTTTCTCAGATTCCAGTGAATTATGCAGCTCTCAGGGCAGGCGAGCGTGTTGTGTCAGCGGGGGATCAAATGGAGCCTGAATATCCAAGTGATGCTGCTAAAGAGCTGTGGGAACCAAACCCAGAGCCTTCATGAAGCTTTTAGCACGAGAGTGAAGGTTAATGTGAAGCTGTGGATTTATAGCAGGCTAAAATAAACAGCAGCAGCCGAGGGTACAGTCSGGTCCAACCCCTCCTGAAAACCTAAAACCCTGCATAAAAACCAGGAGGAGAATCAGAGAAAATAAATCAAAGTTTAAAACAAGAATAAACTCATTATTTTATTTGATATTCATGACGTTGCATTATTTGACTTGACTTGTGAGAAAGCAGCTTGTTATAACTGCACAGAAAAAATTCAAATTTAGACTTTTACAAAACTTGAGCAGAAAAATGTCCTCTGGTTATTATTGCACTTCGGAGGCAATACATTTTAAAGATAAACATTTTATTTTAAAAGGAAAAAATAGTATTTCTTGAAGAAATGCATTTCACATGCCGCTTTCCAAGGTAGAGTTTTTGAAAAAGATCATCTTATTTGGAGAAATGACAGAGGTACCGATGTACTTAATCAAACCTTGAAAAAAAAGGGTTTTTTTTTGTGTTAAGAGGGCAGGATGAGCAGTGACTGACAAATCATTGCAAAAAATGTCCACCTAACCAAGTTTTGAAATCTTATAACCAGTCAAAAAGTCTTTTTGATCTTGTTTTGAG